GTTAAATTCCTCTTCATTGAGTGAATACGAAGCTACTGGCAGTGGGTTTCGACGTTTCTAAAGGGGTGGCTAAATGGCGCGTGGCGTTACTATTTCCTACTCCTGCCTGCATTTGTAATGAAAGCAAACTAGCTTATGTGTTTGTTATTTCTCGACGGAAAATGCTCTTTAATAACTTGACCCGATGCTTACACCATTTCCGGCGCCAGCATATGGTATATCCAAGCGATTTCCTTTATGCGTCAAAGAGTATAAATTCCTTTGAGCTCCTATCTCCTCTTTGAAAGGAAATTATGAGCAAAGGAAACTGCTTAATGAGCTGATGGAGTTTTGCAGAGTATGCGTCACAGTGCAGATGAGAAATTCTTTCTCCACTCGACATTTAAAAAAAGTTATATCAATGGCAATAATAGACTCTCCAAATATGATAATAAGCTTGATTGGGCGTTTAAATGTTTTACTGGCTATTAGACGTAGGGATGACTTCCCTGTTGAATGGCATGATTGCCATCTAAATGCCATGGCACTCATTAACCCATTTAGTCAGTCATTCAGTTAGACATTTAAACCAGATGTGTAAACTCTTTGAAAGGAGTAATTTTAATGTGAATTTATTTATGAAAACTACAAATTCCAGCTGTTAGGAGAACTCGATGGCAGTACTCTACAGCCTTTTGGCTGACCGGATTTTTAAAGCTAGACGGTTTCGTACTTCCTCTAATACCTTGCACTACGACAGCTTTACAACAGACGCTGTATTTGTTCCCATTCGCAAACTCATGATAAAAAGACCACATTTATCAGCACTAACAATTATATGAGTTTTGGGCATAAGGCTAGGTTTTACTAAACGTTTCTACCTTCTTAATTTGGTTATCATAACGCTCAGAGAGCCGTTTTTTGGTGTCCATCAGTATGCGTGGCATCCCGAGCCAATTTCTTTCATCCACCGCTATCCACCGGGTCACGCTAATGTGTTCTCTATGCTAACTTCGCGGTAAAGTTGCCTCCAAGTTGTTACCACTGTGACATCGCATCGACTAGACAACATGCTGCTGATGCTGCTGCCACTGTTAGTTACCTGCTTTTTCCCTTATCAAATTCGCCCTCTACACGGTGCACTCTCTCCCCATCCCTCCTTTCCTGGTGTGACTAAGCTGGACGTTTGTTTGTTTGTTGGTTCGCCTGTATCCGAGGCAAGATTTGCGCCACACCGAACACCCCAACAGCTGCCGCGCCTGGTACTGCTGCTACTGGTTTGGGGGGTGGAAATAAAATTAAATTATTTTGAAATCAGAAGGAGAAAACGAGCTCCTT